CGCGCGGGGATTGACAACGGAAACCTGACCGGCGGCTGATTTGACCGCTGTAAAGTAGAAGCCACGTCTGCGAATTTAACGGGAATTAAGCAATAATGGCAGCATTCCTTTAGCAAAGACTGAAACACTTTGCACTACAATTATAGTTCCGAAGTTATCATTGCAGCCAAAAATGTGTTCCCTAAAGCCACAAAGTTCTGGAACATAATATTCCGGAGACGGTATTGCGATGATAATGCAAAAAAAAGGTCTTATCAAAGTCAGTCAGGACCGATTATCAGTTAACTTGTCATGAAATTCGTGGGCACACCCTGCAACTGCCTCTGTCTTTGCATTACATTACCAAATTAAATATCGCTAAACACCCGAAAACACAACTAACCGTAGACTAAACTAAACCTTACCTGTCCCGAAGGCGACTTAATTCTTTCTGTAGCCCCACTGAAAGAAAGGTAAAGTATAGTTTATATGTGACAACGGCTGCCCGTACCTCCCACTCGGATGAAAATACACTCTCCACCTCCTTGCGGGTGCACGCTCGAGCGCGCCCACGCTGCATTCACGGAGTGTCGGCAAAAAGGAGAAAAGGAAAACCCTCCTTCAAAAGCCTTACTGCTGACCTTGTTATCCCACCAGATAATTAGCTATGTTTAGTGTGCTACTGAAAAAAACTAAGCTATATACATCTTATACAAATAGCACAGTCTGGCCACAAAGCCACAAAGATTGTGGCTTTGTGGCCCTTTTGTCACTGGTTTATTAACTCCTCTGTAGTTTTTTTCACAAGATGAGAGAAATTAAAGGCCCTGGCAGCGGTGGGAAATAATTTAGTACATTTACTAAAGCACTGTACTCAAGTACAATATTGAAGTAAATGTGCTTTACTTGGGTATTTGCATTTTGTTCTACTCTATACTTTTACTTCACTACATTTAAACACAAATATTGTATTTATATGTATTTGTATTGTATTAGTTCACATAATTATTTATTTATGCAATATTTACTTCACATTTATTTTATAACTTTGGTTACTATTTACTCTTCAGAACCAGATTAATGAAACAAAAACATAGTATATAGAGATAAATACAGTATGACTTTATTGTTTTCTGGTGGGAAAATCATAGTTACCCAACAGTAATTCAAATTATAAGCTTAGTTAACAGTAGCTCCCCCTTTACCAGCTGCAATATTAAATAAATGTAATTATAATCCAATAACACGATATACATTAATGTGAAATGTGCAAACGTGATTACTTTTATTTTTAGTACTTTAAGTATATTTTGGTGCTACTTTTGAACTTTTAATCAAGTAACATTTTGAATGCAGGACTTTTACTAGTAAAAAAAAAAGACAGCTGTATTGCTACTTTTATTTATGCAAGAGAACTGGGCACTTGTTACACTACTGACTCCCAGATACTCCTGATACTGTACATCTTAATCGAAACTGAAACTGTGACTGTGTGAGCAGTTTCCCTCACTGTTGGTATACACACTCAACAATAAGGCCTTGAACATGACATATGACCACATAAGCCAGGGGGAGGGGAGACTGCAGCTGCGTTCTGAACTCCAACACCCATGATTCCGTTCGCGCATCAACGACAACAGCTCGGATGTTGCGATATCGCTGGCAGCCAAAGATTGCTTTGGTTGCAGAGATTAGGCTGCTGGGTTGAAACCTTAGTTTAACGTTTTGGTAGATGCCAGATTCTGCGGTTTCTCATTTGCAGCTACAGTTGCAACAAACAGAGGATTCAGTTTCCTGTCGACTCTGCGTTTGTGTGTGGCGATGAAAGGCTGTATCGTGCTAACGCGTTAGCTAACTAAAATTACAGTTTTATTGAAGATGGAAGCAATTAAATAGCTTGACGGGAGCTATGTGGCACCAAATGGTCACTTTACTTGAATGAGGATGGAAAGACTTTTTCGAGCAACGCTGTCACACAAGTTACACGTTGGTCACATCGCACTCAGAGATATTATCTTCAGAGGATAACCTGGATAACCTTACACGAAATGTCATAGCGCGTAAGTAGCTAGCATTTAGCTAGCTTTCTAATGGCTGGGCGAGATGGAGGAGGACCTCATGTTATCATCATCAGCAGCCGACCACGAACAGCTGGATAGTTAAAAAAAAAATTAAAAATACTTTCTCCGAGATGCTTTAGCCTCCTGGGCGGTGTAATTCACTTACATAACAGCTAGTCGCAACCGCTCTAGCTGTCTCCAGCTGGCTTGTGTTTGCAAGCAAATTGGAAATTTGCCACCAAAAATCTGGGTTGACTCAACATCACCAACGTCACCATAAGTGACAAAGGCGTAATTGCATGTTTGAGGTTGCATATAGATTTGTTTGAAGCTTCCTTCGTTAGGCTTACAATCTGACGTGTATTATCTTATTACACTGGAAAACAAGCAGCTCATGTGTGTGTCTGTGATTGAAGACGCAAATATTCTTCCTGTCATTTCGACAGCATGAGGAAGTTCTTTGATTCTCGTCGGGAGCTGGTCAGCGCTGGGCCTGGTTCTGGAGGAGGAGGTGGTAGCTCTGGGTCCAGTCATGCAGGAGGAAATTTCATTGGACGAGCCTTCACCGTCGGGCGACACCAAGTCACTGTTGAGGAGATTATCGCCGAAGGTGAGAAGAGGCTACACAGACCAGTTGATGCGATTTGTTTGCATTTGTGTTTTCTCCTTTTATTTTCATGCATGTTGTTGAAGCAAGAATATGATGGGAATCCTGCATGCTCAAGCCAAAAGCGTGGGTCACATGACAGTACAGGAGTGTAACTTTATGCCATCCCCACATGAGTGATGGAGCTTTGCATCATGTGTGTATATATACAGTGCAAAACACACCCACTGCGTTCTCTTAGCTGTGCTCAGAGTAACACAACAGTTTCCTGTTAGCTGTTTTCTGATTCAGAAGTGTGATTCAAGGGGAGGAAGAGCTGCAGTACCTGGTGCTGGATAGTTAAAGCAGTTAGTTGATCCTTTTGGAATGAGTTAATGAAAGGGTAGTGTACCTTACAAGCTGTAGCTCACACAATTGTTGGATTTCTTTATAGACACCAGTGGTAGGCACTTTCTAAGACTGGTGTTTTAAATATCAGTTTAGTGAACATCATATGAGCAACATTACCTGATAGTTTCTTTTAAACAGATTTTGTATGGTACAAGCAAACAGTGTCTATAATGGCTGCTGTTGAACACAGACATTCCTTAACTCTACTGAGTTAAGCATGGTCTCTCATTTTTCTTGATTGCAAACTGTGGTTGCATGTTAGTCGGTGTGTCAGCTAGTCAAGAATTTCAAAGCCAGTATCCGGAACTGGCTACAAACCGACATCCTGCAGCCACCTATCTCACTCATAGATATCTTTTGCAGATTTATATTGCCACAGTGCCATCACACATGTCAGATTGAGAATGCAGTACAAGATGTGGTGTCTGGATGAAATTGATGACCTGTCACAACTATACTCAGCAAAGTGAATTTGAGATCTGAGCTACACCAGATGGTTAGGCCTCAATGGTGGCCTCTATGTAAGCCCTGCAGCAATAACATGACTAATACATAATGCTATAAGGCTGCACCATTTGGTCCTGGGTGTTTGTATTAATGTAAGGCTGTATGTGCACTAATTGCAGCAGTTGTTGAAGTAATTAGATAACAAATTAGCATGTAAGGTACATTTTCAAATTCACAACATGCTTATGAGAGTGGAAGTATGCTAGATTTCCTATTTTGAACTGAAGTGTTTAAGAAGCATGGTCTTTGTAACCTTTTTGCTTAACTGCTCACTGTCAAGATTTTGCTGATGCATCTATCATCTCCTTGAGGCCTGAAATTTATTTTGGTCTCTTTCTTAATCCTGCAGGTGGTTTTGCAATCGTGTTCCTCGTACGAATGAATCAAGGGGTGCGTTGTGCCCTGAAGAGGATGTATGTCAATAATGAACATGATCTGCAGGTGTGCAAATGTGAGATTCAAATTATGGTGAGTTGTTGAGATTCTACATTTCTCTGCTTGCTCTCACTCTGAACTCATTTATATTCTGACTGTATATGAAGGCAACTACCAATCAAGTGTCTTGTGAAATTCTAGTTGTACCTACAAATTCTCATGAAATCCACAAGGAACAAGTGCTGGATTCAGTGCACACTCAGCCTGCAGCAGCATTACTGGGGTGGTTGTCCAGTATTTATTCATCTTGTTCTTGGTGGGCTTTGTTTTTGTTTTCATAGTATCATCTTGTATGTCCGGCTCTAGAGGTGAATTTCTAACAGACCATCTAGTTCTCAATAAGTTTTTTTTTTTTTCCAGCATCCATTGTTATTTTAGTCCTGAAGTTATAGTTGTTCATTTTATGCCTTTGACAAATATTTAATAAATGCTCTGTTTGCTAATGTAACATAAAACTGAGTTTGTCCCTGTTATAAATGTGTTGTTCATAAGGAGCATATGTTGGAAAATGGGGAAACTACTCTGGTACCATCAGGCCTTTTGACATGGTAATATACAAGAGCAGAACTAGGATTTATTTAGTCCATTAATAGGCAACTTTAGGCACATAGCACATTTCTCAGAGGGAATTTAAAGTACTTTACATAAGCAAAAAAAGTATTAACAGTATTAAAACCAGAATAAAATCAGTTAAGGTAAAATACCACCAAAACACTGGTGAAATGCATAAAATGAAAACAAATAGACAAAGTAAAAGCTCAGAAACATAACATAGAATGGTTACAGTGCAGTAATAAGTTATAGGTTACCCTGAATGCAATACAGAAGTGCAGCAGAGAAACCAGTCAATCAAAGGCATAGGAAACCAGCAGTTTTCACTTTAGACTGTGGCAGAGTTAGGGCACATTTATGGTCATCGTGAAGTTGGTGCCCTCTCTGTTTGGCATAGTAGCTAAAAACAGCTTCTTCTTGTTTGGTTCTGACCTGAGGTTCTACCACCTGGCTGGTTTCTAAAGATCAGCTCTGCTGGGTTTGTATTCTTGCCATACCACTGGGTGATTTTATAAAGTACCAGAAGCACTTTACAATCTATTCTGTAGCTAACTGGTAGCCAGTGAAAGGATTTAAGAGTGATAAACCCAGGTAGGAAGGAAGCAATGGATGGTCAAATTACAAATACTCACCAGAATTACACTCCACAGCATGCATTGTAACAGCTGAGGGCCTATTTTGCTTTTGAAACCAACATTAACATTTAGTTTAAAGATGATGTTGAGTGTCATTCTTCTTCAGCATACAGTGTTCTTCATTTTCTAACACACACACACACACACACACACACACACACACACACACACACACACACACACACACACACACAGACAATACACATCAGCTGCAGACCTGGACGTTTTTTTTCCAGCTCTCCATTACAGCTCCCTCTGTAGGTGATGGCCTGACACTGCATCTTATCTCACACTGACTAATGCAAAGAATGGTTTATAGCACTAATGCACTTATCACTTCCTTGCAGCTATAGTATAAAAAAATTCTCCATGAAAATCCAAAATCTTTTCTTTATGTGTTTGATTTCTTTGTATTTGATTCAGTCAAAGCAGAAATCGCAAAGATTTTCAAGCGTAAACCATTCAGTTCACTTGTCTCATACTGTAGTATGCAGCAGTCTTATTGTTATTTTTTATAGCGCTTCATGCACATTGCTATGATTAATGTTCTTGAATGTGTGTTTGTGCTTTTGCAGAAAGACCTTGTTGGTCACAAGAATATTGTTGGCTATCTGGACTCAAGTATCACAGCCATGGGTTCAAGGGACGTATGGGAGGTTCTCATACTTATGGATTACTGCAAGGGTGAGTGTAGACAGGGAGATGGGGTGCGGCTGCAACCACATGCTTTGAGTATTCCCAGCATTAGAGTTTGTGCAGCAGTTTCAGAATGAATTTGTGTTATAATACCCATGTACGTTTGAATAATGAAAACAAAACAGTTATTACACAATAATCCTGAACAGGATCAGTGTACAACTGGGATGGATAGATAGAAATATACTTTATTCATCCACAAAAGAAAATTGCAGTGATGCAGCAGCCACTTTATAATTGGCAGAAACAATTCCTCACATTGTTTGTGCTGCTGTATAACTGAATATATTATTTTACAGGAGGGCAGGTAGTTAATTTGATGAATCAGAGGCTACAGACTGGCTTCACTGAGGCTGAGGTGTTGCAGATCTTCTGTGACACCTGTGATGCAGTTTCTCGCCTGCACCAGCGAAAGACACCAATCATCCACAGAGACCTTAAGGTGACACGCATGAGCACGTTTGATCATCAGGCTGTGCTATCTTTCAGACAGCTGTGTTTGTGTGAGTTGAAGCTGTGTTTCATTATGGAAGCTGGGCTAATAGGAGGAGAGAAGAGATAGTTAAAATACTTCTCTTTTTCCACAGTGCCCAGACAACTGCAGTGTTAAGCTACTGTCACACAGTAGCTTTAATCCATATGGAAATGTATTGAAGTGCAGATTCTGTGATTTACATAAAAACCTGAAACTCGAAAAGACTCTGGTGTAAATGTCATTATGTGAAGGTGGTTGAACCTTGGTTTTGATTTTTATTCATCATTATCTCTAATGCACATATGCAGGAGACAAGGAACTGGGTCAGTTACTGCACCACTTCCTTATACTTAAAGTTTTTACTTTAAACTGTAATTTTATTTAGCCTTTGTTTTTCCTGAGTAATCCAACTGAGCTTTACAAACTCTAAAAGACAGCGGCATCAAAATTTACAGACAAAGTGCAAATACAAAGCTAAAGATACTGAACAATATAAAAAGTCTTTGATGAGCTACAGAAACCATTAAAACAATTATACTCTAATGAATTTACCATTCTCTGAAAATTTGGCTGAGATACCAAATGTGTTAATATGATTTCTCTCTGAAAATTACTCCCAAGTGGTTGGAGAAGAAAATAAAGGCTTTCTCTCTGAACACTGGGAACAAAAAGCTGATTGGGCCCTTTCATGTAAAACCCCATGCTGTCCTTGACCTAAGCGGCTCTGTATGTCTATGAGCATCGTACCTCCTGTGTATCTGCAGGTGGAAAACATCCTCCTGCATGACAAGGGCCATTATGTGCTGTGTGACTTTGGCAGCGCCACTAACAAGTTCCAGAGTCCACAGACTGAGGGAGTGGCCACTGTGGAGGAAGAGATCAAAAAGTTTGTGCCTCTTTACATCTGCTTTCACTCATTAGCACTTCTTTTAGGTAATGATTTAAAGGCTTTTATGGACCAATTGAATTTTGTAAATGTTTCACCTCATCCTCATATGGACCACAACTGTAGGGTTCTGCACCGCACTGATGAAAAGGAGGTTTTGCTTAACGCAAAAGTAATCATTACTTTTATTAGAATTATGCACATTTATGAGCACATAATAACATGTAGGCTGTTTTATTTCACTGCTACATTAAAAAATGGGTAGTTTTCTTTCTGATTTATTCCTGCCTTGTTTAAGGTACACCACTTTATCATACCGCGCCCCTGAGATGGTGAACCTCTACAACAACAAGGTTATCACTACAAAAGCAGATATTTGGGTGAGTGAAGAAGACAGAGAGATGTAATAATCATGACAGAGCAGTACTATAGTACTGCAGGTAACACATATGTTTCTGGTAAAACACAGCTTCTATTTCAGTTAAGTGTTGATTTATAATATGTTTTGAGAAACTAACACCCGCTATGCTCAGTTAGTGGATGTTTTAAAGTAGATCCTAGTTTGACATCATGGTCAAATTCATGGCCATCATAGATTAAACCTACAGGCTTGTTAAAAGATTTAGGGATTGTTTGTACTTAAAAAGGAAAGTAAAAAATGGTAAAGTTACATTTGCACACTGTAAAATTTGGAAATATTTGCTTCTGTGAGGTGACCGAATGCAAGCATAAGCTCATACCTGCTGGTGTTTTGAGGGGAAAATGATTTGTTTGTGTGCCTTACTGTGCGTTATTGGTATTCTTGATTAATCTTCTCATCTCCCCTCCTCTTCTATCTTTGTGTTTGGTGCGACGGGGCTTGCATGTGATCGTCCTCTCCAGGCGCTGGGTTGTTTGCTGTACAAGTTGTGCTTCTTCACTCTGCCCTTTGGTGAAAGCCAGGTGGCCATCTGCGATGGCAGTTTCACCATTCCAGACAACTCGCGCTACTCTTACGATCTTCACTGCCTCATTCGTTAGTTCCTCTTAAACATTAATTTGTGTTTTCAGCATCAAATTCAGTTCTCACAAAGGTGTGCACTTATGGTTTAGGAATGTCTATTCATTGGCTCTCCTTTTTTTGAGTGTCACTCTTGGTTCTTTATGGTGCTTTTTTCAGGGTACATGCTGGAGCCAGATCCAGACAAAAGACCAGATATCTACCTGGTGTCCTACTTTGCTTTTAAACTAGCTCAGCAGCCCTGCCCTATACAGAATGTGAAGGTCAGTGTCTCTCAGCACCAGGGTCAGTTTATCAGGAATTGATTTTCTTGTATTCACTGGAATCTGTTAGGCATTCTTGTGCCTGATTTACAATACGTAAACGTGTCTGCGGTACCGCTATCTTTGTGTATTTTATTTAGTTTTTGCTTTTTCTGCCATAAATCAGAATTCTCCAGTTCCCACTAAACTTCCTGAACCAATCAAAGCGAGTGAGGCTGCCGCAGCAAAGAAAGGCCAGAATAAACCCAGGCAAGCATGACCTGCTTACAGTGTATTACCGTTACAGCTGTAGTAATGATACTACATTTTGAGGAAGTTTTCAGGTGCATTCAGTATTCAGATACTCAGTAAACAGTGATGTTAACACTGTGTGTCATGATTAATAAGAAGACCAACATCATTCCTTTGTTGCCAGACTGACAGATCCAATTCCTACCACTGAAACCTCCATCACCCCTCGCCAGAGGCCCAAAGCTGCCCATACCCAGGCTGCTGTTGGCATCCTACCCATCCAGCCTGCTGCTCTCACGCCTCGCAAGCGGGCTAATCTCCGTGGTGGTGCAGCTCAGCCTGTGGGTACGTACAGCACTTCATCTCCGTCTAAAGAAGCCATGCTTTTGAATATAGTTGTAGATGAAAACCGGAATCCCTGTAATCCTTTGTGTGCACACTGAATCCTGTCAGTTTCATCAGGAGTATATTGAGTATGCAGATTAAGATTTTCTGCAAATTAAAGCAATATAAGCACAAGCCCAAAGTGATTATGAAATGATATTCTCCACTCTGGCCTTTGAAACTGCTTCAGTTTTGTACCTGTTACACATATCAACATTTAACAGATGACATAGCCCTCTTTAATACATGAACTTTGACATGAACATTGTCTCAGAGGCTCCTAAAAACCCATTTATCTTGCCTGATATTCACATTGTTCTGCATCTGTATACGAGTAAGAGTAACATATTTTCATGGCCCCTCATTATGAATGTGTTATGGCAAAAATTGTCTTATCAGGACTGAGTGTAAAATGAAACTTGATACTAATTCTGGAGGTTGATGCGCATTTATTCCTGCAGGAAGGAGCGAACTCTCACAGTGTGTCAAAAATAACAGTCTGAAGGAGAAGCTCCCTGAGCAGAGAGCTGCATTTCCTTTTATACATAGACACGAGTGTTGCTTGTGGTTTTGGTCTGTTAAGGTCATATGTAGGTTTAAGGAAACATTTGTCACACAGGAAAGAAGCGGTCTGGTTTAACATGCTTTTCATTGAAGACACTTTGACACAGAAGTTTGTCTGGTTTCACAAGCACACAAATAACTATATATAAAAACTGCATAGCAACAATCAGTATGTTAATAAGGACAGTTTTCCATCACAAATGCGTACTCTGTGTTCTTTTTAACATCCCACAGGAGTCGGCTTAGACCTTTCTCAGCCAGCTGCAGCTCTACAGTCGCAGAAGGTGCAGACTTCACCTCTGCCACTCATCCAGTCACAAAACAACTCCGGTCAGGCTGTGGCTCAGCAGAAGCAGGTACATATGGACTCACTTCACTGAACATACAAAAGAGCTTTCTGCAGCCTCAAATTAATCCAAATCCCACTTCTGTATGAAAATGTGCAAAACAAGCAAATGGTTGTCTTCAGTGAAGCGTTCTACATGACTGACTGTTTGTATCTGGGTTTTACTGATCTACCGGTACTCATCATTGTCAGCAGTTTTGATAATCAAGTCATATATTAAAATTTGATGCTTCCAGTATTTAAATGACAGGATTTCCTAATTTTCTCTGTTTTACGTCATTGTAAGTAGAATATTATTAGGTTATAACTTTAGACTGTGATGGGCATCTTCAGTATTATATGAAATGTTGTAGCTTAAATTAATAAGTTTAAAACATAAAAAAGAAAATACTGTACACAGGAGATTCCAGGCCTATGTCCTGTTAAACCAGGTTTGAGATGCTACTTACTATAGATTTTGTATTTAGGTTCCAATTTGTGTATAGTTGTGTATTTTATCTCAATTTTCAGACTTTTGCAGAACTGTATTTATGTTATGATAGGAAACATCAACATGTTTGTAAAAATCATTCCAAATTCAGTGACTGCCTTCATATATGGAGGATTTAGAAAGGGCTGATGTACAGTACCAACCAGGTGCATAAAAAAGATGTTTCATTCTGGTTAAATTGATGATTAAAGCAAGAGAACTCTTTGTCAGATGTAGCCTTTTGAGTGATAGTTTTCTGTCTTTGTGTGTCAGGCTGTGCAGCCAGTCACTGCTACCGGAGCAGAGGCTACAGCAGCAGCAGCGGTAGTATCACCAGTGACCAAAGCTGACATCCAACCACAAGCACAGCTAACAGTCCAGCAGCAGACCACATCACCTTCACCTTCTGCAGTCAGCTCCACCTCCCAGCAGGCAGTGCAGACTCCATCCAGCCCAGCCCCACCCCAGCGCCCAGCTCGACGCAAGCAGGTTAGCCAGGCTCAGCAGCCAGCAGGTCAGCCTTCACCCAACAAACCGGCCTCTGGTCAGCCTCCTGTATCTCAGCAGCAGCAGATAACTCAGGTATCAGCTGCCCAGGCTCAGCCTGCAGCCACTGAGATCAGCCAACAATTGACTGAGATGGTAAGTGGGTTGCTGCTCGCCATCCAGCTTTAAATACTGCCTGATATTTTGGTTCTTTTTATTTGAGCTTTTTTTGACTTCATGCCTCTATTGATCAGACTCCACCTGGTTCTCCAAAGACATCTGAAGAAGGAGGCCACCATCGCATCCCGAGTGATGCCACAGCAAGCAGTGTTGCTGCAGTTGCAGTCAGTGACTCTCAGCAGCCACAAGGAGCTAATGGAGAAGCCACTCTCCACCAGTAAGAACATTTACTGGAATAAACCTGAGGAGTAGTTCAAATTCAGGTCGTCTCCTGTTTGTTTTATTTGTAAAACCTTTTTACCTGTAGATCACTTACATCTCAACCAAGCCCCACTCAGACTCTTCAGCTCGGTGTTGGTGATGCAGTCCAGGACCAAAGCAAAGCTGGAGCCACTGTTCCTACCTCCAGCAGCACCGCCAACACCCCCACACAGCCTATGTGGAACCCCTTTGACGATGACAACTTCTCCAACCTCGCAGCGGAGGAATTCAGAAGTGATGACAAAAATGGTGTGTGAAAGTGTGTATTATTTTCAGTATGGAATAAACAGTAAATGACGGTGATTCTTTATTTTTTTAACCAGACATAATTTCAGAAACAGAGACAACATCTTCTGAAGAGCTGATACCAGGTCTTCAGTCCTCAACTATGGATAGTACACCCCAAGAAACTGGTATGTTTAGTATATATTTGTTATTCTTTTTAACTTTCTTATGCATATCCCTGGACCCACTAAATGCTACAGAGCCTTCAGTGCAGTCATTTCATAGTCACTCAGTCTTAGAGACAAAGGCTTACTCCCAAAACTTCATATAATCCCAAACTTTTCATAAACACCAGATACAAAGTAGCTACACAAAACTTGTTCTGTTATTGGAAATTGTGTATTTGGACATAAATACTGGATTATTGCACAGTATGTGTGATAAAACTCAGACTGAAACAAGCTGATGCAGAATATGAAAGTAATTTTTTGACAGTGTGTAAAAGTGTTTTGTATTAACTTTTAAGTTTTTTAAAGGAAAAAAACAACAACAGTAACAGAAAGTTTAGGGTTCAAGTGGTTAAACATCATCATCATCATCATTCTTATCAGTTGCCTAACATTATCATGCTAGATTGTGGACATCAAAACAAAGCTAATAAGAGGATTGATTCATTTCTTTGGCAAGGGCACTCAGTGAGATTTACAGTAATTCATCTTGATAAGTTGTTCCCAGCTTTAATACATCATTACTGCTCTGATGCCACATAATGCATCGTACTATATGAGTCTGAAGGGATGTAATATAATGTCAAGCCAAGAAGTAAACCTCGTAATGCACCTGATCCATTATTCTGATAGCTCCAAGTGGCTTTCAGAAGTGATGCCTGCCTATGTGTATCACATAAATAAAATAAGGGGTTTTGTCAGAATGAAGAAAATGGTTACATTTAAATGATTTATAATGTAAACAGTTCTGAGGAGTACTGCTGCACACAGCAAATGTAGCCACTGATGCTTTATGTGTTGCCTTTTAGCAAGACAGGAATGTTTGGGAGTTGATTTACTATTGGGTAATACTGTAGGTCTGTTGCTGCCCAAACATAAACAAACTGGACATATTGCTTCAGTGACTGGATTTAAGGCTTATTGCTTTTAAGCATGTGTATTGAAGAACACCAAATGAAGTAGCCACCCTTCTCTCATAATGTTCCTTTCTTCTTGCTTCATAACACATCTTTAACATATAACATTGCTTTGTTTTCCAGCTGAAAGACCATCAACCCTTCTTGATATGGATTCAGGAGCCTCACTGTTGGCTGTGCCAGATCCATTTCATGCCCTGGAGCTGTCAGATGTACCAGGTAAATGTCTCTGTCCACAAATCCATAATGTATACACAAGCACGTTTTTTTTTTTCTTTTGTGTCTATGTAGTTAATTGCATCATTCATGAAAAATGAATATGTAATACCGATAAATGTTGAATAAATAATAATATGGACAAGCGTGGTCTAAACATATGTATCTGCATGTGGTCAGCAGTTAGTCTGGCTCTAAAACAAATAACTTTCTTTCTCCAAACCATGATGAGAACAACATCCAATTTTTGTTATTTCTTTAATGGCTGAAGTTTCTCTACATAAAAATAACACAATGCAAGACTACTGGCTCCTGCTACATTTTCTACTTTTTTTTTTTTTGGTTTTTACAAGTTTTTTTTTTTTTTTTTTTGAACTGTGCTTTGCTCAAGTGTTTCTCTTTTGTTCTAATTTTTCACTGGCCTTTAGAGAAACTGATTGAAGGGCTCAAATCTCCAGACATGTCTTCACTCATGCTCCCTGACCTCTTGTCGTTGTCTGATCCCTTCGGTGGCGCAGTTGAAGAGTCTTCAAAAGGTGTGTGCTCCTCTAAAAAACAGCTTCAGTGTATTTACTTCTGTGGTTGCTTTTTCACACTAAGAGTTAAAAAAAAAAAAAAAACTTTGCTTAATTTGATCATGTCATAGACACATTGTAATGTCACTGGTGAGACCGCAGCTTCTGTCTGCAGTTTAAACTATTCTCTATATGTGCAGCCAGGATCCTAAAGTATCTGTAATCAGTATTTTGTATTGGCAATACCTCAAATGACTACATGTCTGAAAAGGGGATGCTTGTATTGATGAACCTACAGAGATAATTGCCTCCCTCAGCTATACAGAGCTGTATAGCTTCTTTCAGCTTTTGGTTTTCTAACCTACAACTTTGCTGTTTTGCTTTCACTCTTACTGCTCTCATCAGCTTTGTTTTCAGTTACAGCAGGAAACGGTTTTCAACAAAAAAGCTCTAAAAAGCCACTGTACACCACCTTTGAGGTTGTAGTATCACACTGGATGTAAATGGGGAAACGGTTTGCTAACACGTTTGCCATAGCTGCTTACAAGGTGATAATCTTTCAGCTGTTCCACTGCCCCCACGTGGACACATACAGTGACGTTTGGAAGAAAAGTCATTTATATGCTCATAAAGGACTTGGAACTGTGGATAACATCAAACATTTTGCCTCTAAGTGCTAAAAACTTGAAATATGACAGCTTTGTAACTAGTAGAAGGAACCTTCATCAAGAAGACAGGGCATAGATCTGTGCCCTGTTCCTTTTGGTACGTGAACTAAACTTGACTCTCTTTACCATCGTCGTCTTCTGACCTGTCACAGACCCTCTTACCGCAGACGACTCCCTCCTGGGCTGCTCGCTGATCTCCGGTCCATCCGCTCCTCTGGCAGCGAGCAGTGCCACCTCCTCCGTTTCCTCTGCCCCCACCTCTGCTGCATCTGCTTTGGATGATTTCAGTCTGTTGTCTGGAGACTCTGCACAGCCTAAAGCAGGTAAGTGGTAAGAATCTCACAAAAGAAGGCAGTGAACACTAAATGGAAAGCAGTGTTGTGAAGACCAACCTGATCTAATGAAAGTCTCTGACAGAAACATTGCTTTCTCTTTCTCTGACTGTGTGCAGGACTTTACAAACCCCATTTGTTTTTGGTGGTTACAGAAATGTGTGTCCGTACTATTAGTAATGAAAATTTCTAAAACTTTTAAAGACCAAATTTTCAACCATATGACTGTCAGATTCTTTGTCTTGTGTACTTATGCTTTGATCAGATATTGTCTATTTTCCATGATCGTTTTGTTCATTTTACTACATTTTTTAAGGTAACATTCTTTTATGACTGTATGTACTTAAAAAGGTGGAAAAATTGTTTGGCTTTAACTGTTTTCCACCCTTTAACTCCAAAAATAAATAAATAAAATAAATTGAAAAGGTCTCGGGGAAATCAGAAATGCCCTTTTTTGTCTCTGTGCGTTTTCTCATAAGACGTGGGTTACGGAGCAGATACGTACTGTATGTAGCAGACAAAAATCACTAGGATGTCTCAAGACAACAAACTACATCAACTTACCAGTTTCTTGTGCTGGTGATTTTAACATTGTCACATTATCATTGTGTGCAGCAAGTTAACCACTGGATGGCAGGAGATTAAATGGTCTTGGTAAATGGTCTTATACTTGTATAGCGCCTATTTATGCTTTTACAGCACACTCAAAGCGCTTTCACATTATTCGGCCATTCACCCATTCGCACTCCCAAGCACTGTCAGATTCTTTGTCTTGTGTACTTATGTTTTGATCAGATATTGTCTATTTTCCATGATCGTTTTGTTCATTTTTTGTTCACACACCGGTGACATCACTGGGAGAAAATGGGGGTTCAGTGTCTTGCTCAAGGACACCTCGACATGTTGACTGGACAAGCCGGGAATCGAACTGCTAATCATCCGGTTAGGAAATGACCTGCTCTACCTCCTGAGCCACAGCCGCCCCCGACACATTAACACATTATCTAATTCATAATGACAGACCCGTGATATGTTTATCTGCATAACTTCATAGACATTTCATATTAAATGAAGGTGCTTCATTTAAATGGAACATCTACATCGTATGTCCCAAATTTACACAGCTGTGGTTTAGTTGTTTGTTCTCTGTTGTTGTTTGTGACAAAAAAAACTATTAATAGTATGTACCTTATTTTGGTCTAAAGTATGTGTTTGTTTTGTCATGGTGCTCTTTTGGTAAAGATGTTTGTGCCTTACCTTTTACTATCTTCTGCAGACTCATCTCTCCTGATCTCAGACTTTGAGCCCCAGCCACCCAGTGCAGAGGCAGGCACAGAGGATGAGTTTGATCCTATTCCTGTCACCGGCCGAAAGAATTCCCAAGGTAAGTGTTTAGACTCCATAAGGAAGCACAGGAGGGTAAAGATTATATTTGGGATTATAGACATGTCCAGGATTTACTTTACTGGGTTCTTCTCAACCACGCAAATTTGCTAGATATCTAATGGCAGTCAAACGTTGTGATAACAGATTCAGGCGCCTACACTAATTTTACACCCTCAAAGTCTGAGTCGTTTGAAAACCAGTAGAGGAAAATGGGTCAGATCTGCCTTCTCTGTCTTTCTCTTTTGTTCTAACCTGCTTGCCTCTTACTTTGACCTTTGACTGCTATGTTTGCTTGTTGTGACTCTCGCTCCTCTGCTTCTCCCCTCTATTTGCTTGTCCCGTCCTGCCCCCTCCCTGCCTTTCTCTTCTCTCTCCGGCCAGTTTCAGGAGGCCACTCGCGCAGTAACAGTGGCGGCTCTGAATCCAGCCTGCCCAACTTGGCTCGCTCCCTGCTGCTGGTGGACCAGCTCATCGACTTGTAGGCGGCCTCACCCCCTTGTAGAAGCTGGATTATAGACTGGCATTGCATAACAGCGATCAACACTGTTGTCATAGCTAGCTCCCCTTACCCCCCTGGCTGTCATCTTCATTGTAGTTCCTACAGTAGAAACGTCCTTCACCTTTCAGTGCTTCTTCATTCCTGCCCTCTCAACTGTATAGGCTGCATTACCTGGCTTTTTTTCACCTCTCATCTCCCACTCTGTCACTCACTTTCTCTATGTCGTGGTCTTCTATGCATCATGTATTATCCATTGGTTGAAGTGGCCTGTACACTAACATCATCCTCTGTAAGGATTAAACACTACATAACAATATCTTTCTGTCAGTCAGGTTATAATAGTGCTATCTGGTTTGTTTGAACAATATTGCGTTATGTCTAATAGCAAACAATAGAAGATCATTGTCGTAATGTACAATAAGCATAGTTATAAGTGGTTGTAGTTATTATTGTGCACAAGTGAATTTGTTGTTGTTTGCCTTTTTAAATTCTCCTCCCCAGAATTATTTGCACAATTTAAAGTGAAACCACAGAAAAGTTAAATGACCATTTGTTCAAATAAGGTCAGTTTATTTATTCTGTCAAAGGAAATGTATTTGAAATGTCATGTAGCCTGATTTGCACAGTAGCATAAATGTTACCTCTGTCAGCCTAGGGCCGTTGGATGGCATATCTTGATCAGTTTAAAGTGTTAAACAAAAAAAAAAAATCAAATCGAGTCGCAATCTGGAAACAAAACAGCCTTAACCACATGTCCGACGACTCTTCTTGCTCCTGCTGCTCCCTCTGTAGCGTCAATACAAAGTTATTGTGATTAAGAGAAAAGCAGGACACAAATGTTTCCCTGATTGGACTAAACAGTTAAGTGCCATAGAACAATCTGTGAAGGAAACCTCTGACTGGCAGAGTCGTGGGAGTGTACTGTATCAGCTAAACTCTAAATATGACTATGATACAAAACAGCTTATAAATCATGTCCAATCATTTGAAAGTGAGCTTGTTTTCTAGGCAAAGTGTACTTTTTAAAACAAGGACCTGCTCTCATTTGCTATTAGTTTGAGCTTATTTTAGTTTTATCCTCAAAGCAAGCAATAGGTTACTTTGGCATTAAATGACAAACAGGGTCATTTAATTTTGTTTATAGCAGTGTGCCATACCAATAGAAAATGCATGAAATCATGAAAATATTTTGAATAATAGGAAATAATAGAAATACAGTAGCTGTTATATATGGAGAGAACATTTATGGTCATTCAGGTAATTTTGTGGCACAAACAAATGTGGCATTAAAAATGATTTTCACTTACTCACTTTTTAAAAAATATCTGCTCAAATATTCATTCCACATTTTGCAATCCTTCTTACATTCCTGTCATTTGTTTACTCCTAATTTATGTAAATAGATAACTGCAGCCCCTGCAGATTCTCATCCAGACCGTACCGGTGGTTATTCTCCCCGTGTATATAAGAAGTCATTGTTATAAAGCTTTACTTGTGGAAAACATATTGCTTTACTTGTGATATATTACATTGTTTTCCTGTCAATAAATATTAATATGATTAGTGGTAAAGAATGAATGTAAGAAATAAATATTAGTCTATAATAAAAAATATATTGAATTCTTAACACCAAAATCACTGAATGTATACTGTAAATGATAAATCTAGTCTTTGTTCAACCTGGAAGATTTTAGGCTGAATCCCATGTCTTATTCTACCTTTGTGAAAAGAGAGTGAGCCTGTGTTGTGTCTGTTTACGTGGACTGATGAAGGATGATATTTTTATTCAAAACAGTTGACAGTTTACTCAAGAGTGGGAGCTTAACCTCTTGAATCTTAGTCCTGTTTCATTTCATTGCTAAACTCGAGCCTTTTTTTGAACTTGTGCTTTGTAAAGCTTTGTTTTGCTTTACTGGTTTTAGTGGTCACAGAGTTCATATCAAAAAGCATGGCAGTTTTGTTGAATGTTATGTTCATGTGTGTTGGTAGATGGTGTTATGATACTGTAAGTATGTATATGCATATGAAGTCAGAATTGTTGGATGTGTTTTCCAGTAGCCTACTTGTGTTGTTGGCAACTGTCGCGGCATTAGACTCTGAAAGCACAGACTCTCCTAGTTTCTCTCAGGTAGTCAGAGCGGCATCACTTGATCTGAGAGCTGGACACATATTGGCTTACTGCTCTCCTGTGTCACTGTTCTCTGGAGGTCTGCGCTCCATATACAGTTAAGAGAAACGGTCTGATATGTGATGTGTGAGGGGCTCCGTGGAGTGTGAATAATAATCTGCCAGGCGTAGCATGAAGATACAACGCTGCTGGTGTAGCAGTGGTTTGATTCTCAGACAGCATTAGGTCAGCTGTTCAGGCTTTGAAAAATCAGCTCCAGTCAGCAATAGTAATGTTTCTGTAGGGTCAAACAAGGTAATTTTGCTTCCCATGCGTGAACAGTGGGGAGACCGCCTCCACTGCTTCTTTGCCCATTTTGTCATGTTAGAAATGTATTTTAAGTTGCATACACTGTACTTCTCATTATGTTTTGTGAGATCTACTGAAATTACTCTATTATGAGAATGAGATAGATAATCAGGATTTTTCTTGTTTATTCTTTAAATTTAAGCTTAAAGAGTTTGAATGACAGATCAGTCATAATGTGTTTTAATGCTGAATGTTGCTGTTGTTGAAGTGCACAGATCATAGTGGATTTTCACATGCTGGCTAGTCCATTTACATACAGTACATGTAATATGGAATAAAATGTAGTTGCCTTTTGAGTGACTGAAATCAAGGCAGTGGCACATAAACTAAATCTCACCTCACAACTTTGAGAATAGTGTCTAAATTATGGAGTACAGTGATCTATTCTTCTTTGTTCTTTGATAATAAAAGGTTTGGTGATAATGACTGTCAACACATTGGTTTATGTGCTGTGGCAGTGTCATCTATTTGCCCCCAAATTGAAAGTATTTTGAGTAGAACTCATTAACTGATTAAAAAATAATCATCTAATTAAATAAACTGAAAAGAGTGGCTGTTTCAAAATAAAAGTCTCTTTTTGGGTATATTTAGTGTAGCTTCTGCATGTATGATTGAAGGCTTATATTGTTGTTGTTTTTTTAAATCATCGTCTTTATGATTCTTCCACTGAACAACTCAGTCATTTGCATCAACTGTTTGAACCTATGCAACTCCCGAGCTTTCTCCCTGTAGCTGCCTGTGTGCTGGTGTGCTCAGTAAAGCCAAGCAAATAGTGAGATTAGTCCTTGACGTGAAACAGAAGCCCCTTGTTTTCTCTGTTGTTTTGCCAAAACTGAAAACTGTCAATTATCTGATACTACTGAGTGTTTTGAGACGCCTCTTGTCTTTATGGCCCGAACCTGCGTCAGAGCTGTGGTATCGTGTGCTCCTTCTATTTTTGTGAAATAATTAAAGAATTATAAAGGGATGGCAAATAAAATACAAATGTGAATGTCAACATTTTGAGTATTGTAAAATTTTCTAATGCTGTTGTTCAAATTATTGGTTAATATAACTCGACAAAAGTTAATGATATTTACACCAAATTATGGAATCAATATTCATCAGCTTTTGTCAGTAAAGTTAGAGATTTGAGCATTTATAAGTAATATTCCACAATTCAGACAACTTTTTTTTTTTTTTTTTTTTGCACCTAATCCAATCTTTAACTGGTTGTATTAAAAGAGAACTGACTAGGTTATGTCTCTTCAAGTAAGATTCAACACCAGCTTCATGCCCCATTATAACCTCAGTCCAGATCACCTTTTTACATTTTTGGAGCTGTCTGTGCCTTCTAAAAGATCCTTTCTCACTCTCCTCAACAGAGCCGACTTAAGAATATACCAGTAGTTGGATGTATCAGGGTAATTAAAAATAGTACCTGACCAGCTTTTTACCAGAGTTTAGCTTATTGTGGATACAATGTCTTGGTATCAGCTTATGTATTGATCCATAAATAACAAGAATTTAGCAATACCGACATGACATGCTTTTTTTTCCTTGCCGTCACTCAACTGAAACAAGTTAATTTTGCAATGAAATGCTCCTTTCAGTACATATCATGGTTTCAGGTATTTAATAAAAAAATGCAAGAGCTCTGTATCAGCAAAATGTAAAAAATTGGTCATGTAAAAAATTGACCAATATAATTTTTTTACTCTCAAATATAAATATATTTCTAGGCCTTTATCATTGAAGGAAAAGTGTGGGTGTAAAAAATAAAGTTAGTGATGGCAGAATTCTAGCTGCATTAGTTTCACTGTCCTGTTGTTGCTCATGCTGATTCACTGTCACACTTTTCAGACAAGAACTATCGTCAATCTGCTTTTCCCTCTTTTGGCCTTCAAAACCCAGTATCGATCAGGCTATAAGTCACATGGCTCATCTGAGTTCATTGATGAACGTTGCATGCAGGAGATTTAAAAACGATGTGCCTTGTTGTGCAGTTGTTAAACTGATTTTTTTCCACTGGAGCCCAACATGATTTTTCTTTGACCGGTGCCTGTCACTGGTTGTTGATCCACTGATTAAAGTTTCTGTCCAGGTGATGAACATTCTGTCTGTTATGTTTCACATTACTGATAGGAAAAAAAGCAGTTTTAGAGAATATGCTATTAAAAAAGGGAAACCTTCTTCCCATTTCTTCTACATACAGACCTGCAGAGGGAGCTCGTCAATAATGCACAGCGAGTCGCTGGGACTTTGGCATCTGTGCAATTCTCGGAGGAGAAACAGAGGTCGAGCTTCCAGCAGAGGACTGCTCCATGTGTCTATAATAAACACATGTTGCCATCAGATGACAGGAGCATACAGCACCACATGATACCAACTACTTCCACCAGTCTTCATTTCATACCTGTCAAAGGAGTACCGCAGTTTCAGTGCCCAGTCAGCCCAGTCACCTCTGATGTTTTCCAGATGGCTCCTTTTAAAACACCAGGAAAAGAAAGCAAGATGGCATTCAGCTCCTCTTCTGCATCTCATAAACCTACTGAGACATCTGATGTTTTCCTCCTGGCACCATTTGGAAAGAGGCAGGAAACCACCAAAGCTGGTCCTACTTACACTAACACATTTACACAGCAGATTCAACCCAGAAAACCGTGTCACCTGGTGCCGGTATCGCCTCTTCCTGCTCCTCAGCCTGGCAGTATTCGGCCCCATCCTCTGCACATGGAGGCGCCTCTGCTCCAGCAGCCGGTGGCTGTGCACAGGGTTGTCTCCAGGATAGGTCAACAGGCTGCCGTGGGTTCGGTGGCTGTGGGGCCTCTGTATTCCTGGACGATAGGGGGTAGGGCGCTGGATGACCCGTTTATGGCAGCACCTTTTCAGCCTAGATCCTCTCAAGGAAAACCTTGATTATGTAATCTCCTAAAAATGCCAAGTCAGTGCCTTTTCTGCAGCTAGTGAAGCAGCAAAAGTCAGTTGCAGTATTACCTATTTTTAATGTAGAATTACTATTGTCATAGTACTGTAGTATTAAAATGACTGAATTATTCTTTTACCAATTATGTACTTGTTTAGACTTAAGGTTCTACCTCAGTGATCTGGTTCAGTTTCCATCAGAGCACAACAGTGCATCATTCCAGCACTTTGCAAAATGATCTTAAGTGGTTTGGTCCTTGAGTCATTTTGAAAATCATTTTAGCCAAAGGGGGTTTGTTAATGGCACAGTCTGTAATCTCTTTGACTGCAATAATTGCAGTTAATTTGAATGTGCTGTTGAACACATCTAGATGAATAACAAGCTTTTTGTATTTTTCTCATTTTTAAAACGCGTATCCATTGCATCATAAAACATTATTAGCTAAATTAGCTGTTTTCAGTTTTGTTCTATTTCAAAAACTTGTTAGATTACAGACTGTGCCTTTAATTTCCCCGCTGTAGGTTTTACACAATGGATCCAACCATTGTGATACAAGTCAAAGGAACATCAGATGTAACTGTGTGAAAAATGTTCATACAATGAAAGGAGGGAAAATATTTCTTCAGTTACTTTCATATTACCAGAGGTAAAGCATCTAACTTATTATAGCAATTTTCAGAAAAGACAGAGGTGTTACAAAAATGTCTGGTCAAGGACTTCAACGATTTCATGTCCAATATACCTGCTTTACTGCTTAATACTTGTTAGCGGGTTGCTGCTGCCATTTTCACACAAACTGCACCAGCTTTTCAAGACATTTGTAGTTGTCTTGAAAGGATTTTTAACAATGTTTTTTCATCTTTGGTGTCTGTATTTTAAATGAAACATATGATGATTCACTGATGTCTTGCAGCTTAAGGTGATCTCAATAGGTGAAAAGCGCAAAGAAGAAAAAGTGCCATCTTTAACAAGTTGTTGTGAGTTTCTATTAAAGTAGTAAGATTTGAAACGATTCTTATAATTTTCTGCATACTTTGCCAGAGATAATGACTTTTTGTAAACAATGCTGCCTTTGCTTACAGTATTTTTTTCGTGCATAATATTCTCATTTTGTATGATCTGCTGGTGGCATGTGGATGTTGACTGTGCTCTCAGTGCCGCTGTCACAATGTAGTCTTTATGAAATACGTCTTGCACATATGCCAGAGGTATTGTCTTTCTAGGAAAGGGTTTATCAGCAACAGTTAAAATGGATGAAACAAGACACAAAAGTAAAATGGAAAAAAAGATTGTTCCCAAACTACTATAAACTCTATCTGGTATCTCATGAGTACTTTTCAGGTCAGATCATCCCTAATAAATCACCACAAAAACATGTCAGTTACCACTCAAGCTTTGTCATCAGGAGGAAAAGTAAGTTGAGTTTGTGTGAAATATGAGCTACTTGTTTTTATTCCACAATGTGCAACATGTCACATGGTCTTAGATTTAGTAAGAGACTCGTTTACCTGATCTTGGAACAACAAGAGTACATGGAAAAAAGCGGAGAGTGAGCCAGGTCACGATCTGAATTTATGACAGTAAACATGTCAGGGTTTGTGTACGTAAATGGAAATGGATTCGGCTGAGGATTTACCATAAATTAGCTCAAGGCTGTTTGGAAGCTACTCTCATTCATACACTTGCACAACTGGAGCTGATTAGCTGTGTAACGTCAGCGATTGCCGTTCATCCTGCACAAACACTGTGCTGACACAAGTGTTTTTGTTCCATTCTTGCAAAATGTGAGGATTTAATATGGTGTGATATTTTCATAATGGTAGGAACAGAAGTCTAACTCTGCCAACACAAAGTTAATCCTGAACTTACTTATGCTCAGTGTGATTTCTTTTTTTAATCAGCAACAATCCCTGCTTCACTTTTCCCTAATGTCTGGTGTAAATTGTTTGTCTGTGTAAATATTTCTTCTAGATCTCTGTGGGATCACAGTTGGATTTTGATTTTGTTGTCTGCCTTTAAGCCTGCTGCTTCTGGCAGTTTCCTCAGATGTACCTCCACGAGCTTACTGCCCACAGGTCTGCAAGTCTGTCTGTATGCATCTGCAAAAGCATTTTCAAACGAAGAGGCAACTGAAACTAAGGAATGGACATGGAAAAGATAGCTTTACTTTAGTGGACCTGAGCTTAATAAGACTCAGCTGACTGTTCTGTGGCTTGTTACATAACCTTACTCATTTTTTTAATTCTTACCCAAAATGGAAAAAAATGTAGTCCTCCTAAATGATTCGGAGCATTGCTATAAATAAAGTAAACCATTTTACAGTTTTACATTTTAGTGATGTCATTAGGCCAGATTTGCATCTTCCAGCAAATTACTGCAGTTTTTCCGTCAGTTTGTGCGCACAGTATCTTCATGTGGAGGCATTAGGGAGCATATCTCCCTGCGTAACACCACCTCACGTGCATTTCCTGTTGTCTTTGTGTCAAAAATGTGAAACCAGCCACACAGCAAAGAAACCCTATATTGGCTGTGTATCCATGTCTTTATTTTTTTTGGTACCAGCGAATACAAATAGTGACGGGTGGTTATTAATTTAATCGAGTCACTGTTTTTTCCCCCCTTCTCTCTAAAATGACAGTGGAGCTAGGCTGTGGGCTGTTACACCTATAAATGAACAACAGTATATCTATTTTTATAAACAGAAATATGTGTACTGGTCATGTGCTGTATCATTAACCAACATCAATCTGAACACCTGTGCTTAATATCACATCTGTGCCACAGCCAGTAGACCTATAATAGTTCTGATAAAATAGTCGGATCTATCCCACACCATAATACCATGAACATGTTCCAGCACAAGATCTGCAGCCTGCCTCTGTGGCTGCTAAGTCAGTGTCAGGGAGATTTTCCAGAGATGACTTTTGACAGTGCCCCAGCTCCTGACACTCACAATGCTCTTACTCCTGTGATTTACAGCATCTTGCTGACATCTTTACATATTAAAGTCTCTGGTTCCTAACTTTACAATTTATTTCCATATTGATCTTATCTGAGAAAATGTTATATATCATATGAATGAAGTCAATTATTCAAGCTCTTTAAAAATCATATTATTAATAGCATTCAGTGGGATAGACATCTCTTCTGAGATGTGTAGTGTAGTGCATTAATCTTAATAGAATAGTTTGACATTTCAGACATATAATGCAACATATACGTATATATTTCTGGTAAATATGTGTATTTTCTTTCATAAAGTTAAATGATCATTACTAGTGTTGTAACCAGAATTCAATTTATAACATGAAAACTATCATCATCCATGAGAAGCAGACATATAATGCAACATATACGTATATACATACGTGTTTCTGTCCTTTAATGAACATTCATTCACAAAATATACATTTGCCAAACAAACTTTGATGTTTAAAGCACAACACAGTTGCTAAGTCATGGGATTTTTTTGCATTTTAAAGTCATTATTTTCACTCATTAATTCTAAATCACATCAGGCAAAGGCTAAAATGCAGGTTTATACCACTCCAAAACACATTGCAAGGTTTGGCCAAATTGTCTGATTTGATATTAGCAAAAAATGTTCTTAAGCACTAGAAGAATTGCTTTGCTCCAATAGCATCTAATAGCCAAAGCTGTGCTTGCTACGCTACGCTTCCTACACTAAAAAAAAACAAAAAAAAAAACCTCATAGCCCATGCCACAACATGCGTGAGCCAAACATATTTAAGTATTGAAGGTTTTCACTGTGTAGATGTTAAATTATGAGCTGCAGCCTCAAAAGGCAACATTATATAGTCAGTGTGTCACTGTAATTCTTTTTCTGTTCAGGTTTATTTCCAGAGGCACAGTGAAAAGGTCCTTTCAGGTTTCCATCCTGAGCTTGGATCCTACTCCTCAAATTCACTCTTGATCATCATCAGTGGCTCTCATGACTGGGGCGTGGAGGAGGGCGTGACGGGGGAGGTGCCCTACAAGGAGGTGGACTCTGAGGTGGAGGCGGCAGCGAGCCATTTGGAGATGGGGGTGCAGAGTTTGGGCTTGCGTTGGCTAGGGGTAGGGCTCTGTTTGGGGGTGGTGTGTACATGGGAGGGCAGGTGGAGGATGGGGGAGGATTGGCCGGCAGAGGGGGAAGTGTTGAAGTTGGTGACGGGGGCAAATCGAAGAGGTGGCTGTCCTCTGATGGACGGCGCTGGTATCTGTGTGGCATGGTGTAGACAGGCGTGGAGGGATGGTTGTAGATGGGATAGCGAGGAGCAGGGTAGGATTTGCTTCGGGTGAACGTTATGCATCTGCCCTGTAATAGAGAGAAACGAGTTGATGAGCACCTAAAGAAATCACTGGTAATAGTAGAGTGTAGCATTTAACTTTACAAAGCAAATTGTAGGAAAAGAAGCTGTAACATACTCCGTGAATTTCAAATCTACTGAGGGACAGTGATTTGCAGGTTCAGAAGGGTTCAGCTTTCAGCAAATGGAAAGAGGAAATTCCTCTGTTAGTGAATGTCATGGAAGGCAGCATCTGCTCTTAATGACTTCTACAGAAACGAGCACTCCTCCAGACAATACTGCAGTTGTTTTATACCTTTGTCTACTAACTGTGCCACTTCACTGTGTCCTTGAAGCCACTATTCCTGATTTCAAGCCGCTTTGATTTAAAAATGTCTTTGGAATAAGTGTAGTTAATGTCACACACATAAGATTCCGGCTTGACTGTGTTCACTAATGCTGACCCAGAGGCCAGTATCTCTTATCCCTCATTTCCAGAGTTCTGGAAAATTCTTAAACATCTGCCTGCCAAAGATTAACACAGTTGGTTCACAGTCTTAGTAACTGTCCTGTTTTGAAAGCATGTGTGCTTATCTTACAGCCGCAAAGAGCTAATGCTGTTTATCATTGCTCCACAGAGGAAATCGCAGTGTAACGCCCTGACTTTGCATTATTCTGGTAAGTCTCACCTTATCTCCAGGATGAGGTCGCATCACAGACACTCTGTCATAGCCTTTTCTTAGGAGTACGCAGAGAGCGTCCAGTTTGCCCTAGAGACAGGTGATCATAAATAATCATACAATAAAAAAATATGTTATACCAGTGAATGAATGCAGTGCAGTAAAGGTCTATTTAACAGTACTTTAAAAGCTACATGAAAAGAGATCTTTGTGATGCTGCCAGTTTATATCTGGTCCACTTTTTGCACCAGATGTTTCTCTTTGATTCTTTCATATAAAACCTTATATGGTAGAGAGATGGATAAATAAAGAATGTATTTTGTTATTAATAACACCCGCACAACAGATTCCACATTCAGGGGTGAGCTCAGGTCAGGTCTGCTTCTTATTACCATCTATCCTGCTGACTAGTATGTGAGAAAACAAATTTTATTAACTGTTTCCTGGTAGCATATTCCAAGAAACATTTTAGGTTACAATGGATATATGCGATCAAAACCATCAGCAATAGGCCTTATACTGTATATGTTCTCATGTGATCCATGTCTTGAAATACATTAGATGACAGTAATACATCTCTGTGACATTTTAGCAAAAGGAGGAAGACTATGACATATTGTTGAAAAAGCCCTGAGTTGAGAGATGAGTTGATAGGAATTTGAAAACCAAACCAATCCATGCCATGTACAGTATAAGATAGATATCTTTAAAATGCAGTATGCAAAATATGAACAGATATCTGGTCACAAATTACAGAAGCAATGAAGAGGTAAGAAATAAGAGTAGCATAAGCAGAATGCATCCTGTCAATGAAAACAAAAGTAACTTAGAGCACCTTAATGGGAGAATACCACTTCTCAGAGCGGATAGATTTGTGCATGTTGTAGATCGGCCTTGGTAGAGGTGGATCATACTCCTGTGTAGGCATCACAACACGAGCATTTTTAGCCTTTTCCAGTTTGGCTCCTTCTTCAGTAGAGCCTTTATCTCCCCAGCGAACCTAAACAGTGGCCACAATAAGTCAAAATAAAAGTGGGAATAGAAGGGACTGAAATACCTCAACAGCAATTGAATGTCATTACATTTGGTGTTGATAGCCACAGTGTCCAGAGGATGAGCCACTATAACCTTGGTGATACCTTCATTTCTCCTCTAGCACCATCAACAGGTCAAACTTTCAAATTCGGGAGAGCCCATTTTTACTGCATCTGTTTCAAATGTAGTTAATCTTAGCAACTTCTTGCTACATTTGAACATAGAGAAAATCACTGTTTCCTACCTACGTGGAACTTAATTAAACCCAGTCCTCTGGAATCCACAAGGAAAGGGAGGTTTGCTGCCTTTCCACAAAATTTAATTGCGCCAATTTTTGTTCCAAAGTTTCAGATTTTTCACTAAACTTCTGTGGGCATAAACATTTACTTTTGAACTCAATTTACTGTTATAAATATAGCCTAATAATCAGTGACGTGCGGTGAGGTTGACAGCTGGTGAGGCACTAACTCTTTTACAGTCAAATTTACAAACACAAATTGTTTGTTAACAGACAATGCGTTGTGTTTTATATCTCATATCAGCATTCTTCACACAAACGTGACCCATATTTAATTTGAGGTAAAAATTTATTCCAATTGAGCTTATTTCTAACTAGAAATAATAAAAGTTTATGGTCTTACCTTTACTTGTACAGTACACAAAATCCATTTGTCAGGGGGTATGTATTACAAGCCCTTTTACCGTTCGAATCCAATATTAAAACAAATGTTCTCAATAAAGAAGATCCATCCATCCATCCATCCATCCATTTTCTTCTGCTTATCCGGGACCGGGTCATGGGGGCAGCAGTCTAAGCAAAGATGCCCAGACTTCCCTCCTCCG